TATATATATAAACCTTTTTCCTGACCCCAAACATTTGAATAGTTGTGTATATCTATCCATGTCTATACTAGTGACACAATGTTCAGTTTTTTTGAATGAGTCCTCTGTCCTCCTCAGCTATCCGGTACTGTGACCGCTGTCAGTTGATCAAACCGGACAGATGTCATCACTGCTCCACCTGCGACAGGTGAGTCCACTCAGAAAACATAGTTGCCTTGCTTGTATTGGATTTGCACAATATGTATTTTGATCCTTTTTGTTTTTCCCAGATGCGTCCTGAAAATGGATCACCACTGTCCATGGTACGTACATCTGGGGATGCATTCAGTTTGTAATCTGAAGTTGCCACATAATCTGGTTTAGGTGCTGTAGCTACTATGTAGCTTATAACTCTGTGTTTTTCTCTGTTCTTCTAGGGTTAATAACTGTGTTGGATTCTCCAACTATAAATTATTTGTGCTGTTCCTGGCGTACTCTATGCTGTACTGCGTCTACATCGCTGCCACAGTTTTGCAGTACTTTATCAAGTTCTGGACAGTAAGTCCACACATTCACACAAAGACATCTGATTCCTTTCATTTATCACACTTCTCGCTTCTCACCTTCTGCTATTTCAGAGAGTCAATTTCAGCTTGTCTTTCCATTAATCTGTTCTCCTGTCTGCATGAAAATGAACTGCAGATAGCCTAAAGAATTATGTGAAGGCTAATGTACAGTCAGGTGGTCATTATCACAAAATAAACCTCAGGGAGAGGATTTTGGATTTATTTAGCTTACTATATCCTGCTTATTACACAGCTACACACTAAATAAATAAATATATATATTGATTTGAGTTTAAATGATTTTAAGGGGCAAATATAAAGACTGAGTATAAAGATTTCTATTTCAAATAAAACTTTCTATTTATCAAAGAATCCTAAAAAATAAAAATAAAATTAAGCAGCACAACTGTCTTTAACATCAGTAATAATGATAAATGTTTCCTGAGCACAAAATTAGCATATTAGAATGATTGCTGAAGAATAATGTGACACTTAAGTGTCACAAAATATAAAACAGTAAATAGTAATAATATTTTTACAATTTTGCTGTTTTTTTTATTGTACTTTTGATTACAATTTTTTGAATAAAATAAGCCGCTTTGTTGATTTGAGACTTCTTTCAAAAAGATTAAAAATCATACCAAAACCAGTCTTTTGAATGGCAGTGGATGCTGTATTTTTTTCATTTATATGCACTAATATAACATTATATATTTTCCTCTATATATTTTTACTAAAACATTAATATTCGTAAATGCCATGCAATGATCTTTGTGTGTGCGTGTCAGTTCTTGAGACACAGAAAGAAGGAAGAAAAAAGGGATGTGTCTGCTTCTAACATTCTGTCTGTGTTTTTAACGCTTTGTCTGAAGCTTTGCAGACGGAGGGCTATAGAGCATTGCCCGGAGGTAAACCACTCACGCTTGCTTTGCACTGTTGTGACTGTGGGCGTTGGTTTTGTGTTGCACTGTTGACTCATTTTGCTTGGTATTCTCTTACTGATTAAAATAAACCGCAGTGTTGCAATAAAGAGTGCAGTTTAGCATATTACATATACAGATGCTTTTTAGTGGTACGGCAGTCAGTTCTTACCAGACATGGATGTTAGTGTTGAGGCTGTTAGATCAACAGGTTTTCTTGAGCTCTACAACTACATCTGTTGCCAGTAAACAGTTTTGGTAATGTGTGTAATTTTTTTGCCCTATAGTTTGATAGCAGCACTGACTCAACCAGTGGTGTGTTTGGGATGGGAATTTTTGTAGTTTAATGAAATATTGCAAACTACACTGGAATATTTTATGAACCTATCCCAAAACAAAACACTTTTTTGTCAATATCTCACGTTCTGCTTTCTTGCTCAACAGAATCACCTGCCAGACACTCATGCAAAGTTCCACGTGTTGTTCCTGTTCTTTGTAGCGGCCATGTTCTTCATCAGTATCCTGTCACTCTTCAGCTACCACCTGTGGCTCGTGGGAAAAAACAGAACCACTATAGGTAAGATGATGTTAATATTTGCTGCTTCTTTTTCTTATACTTTTTAGTTCATTTCTAACTGTACGAGTGTTGTTGTTGCTTGCTTTTTTTTTCATCTCCTTTTCCTTCTCCTTTTTATCATCTTTTTTTGGTTGAAATGTTGTTGTTGTTGTCTTAGAGGAGGAAAGGAAGGAGAAGAAAGAAGTAGAAGAATAAGGAGATGGAGGCTTTTATTCCTCTGTCTCCTTATTCTTTTACTTCTCTTTCTTTTCCTTCCTTTCCTCCTCTTTCTCCTCATACTTTTAGTTGAAATCATCTCCAACTATTGAAATGTTATTCATATTTGCTCCTCCTCCTTCTCCCTCTCTTTATTCTTCAGCTTATTTTTCTTATAGTTCTTTAAATAATTGTGGTTGGTTGTCTTTTGGTACACTGCGAACACTGCTGTTTCTTTCAGGAAATGCCTGTCTAGTAAATACAATTATTGCTTATTTAGATTCTAATTACTTCCTCAAAGAATTTCAGTCCAGGTTGATATTCCCTTGTTCCTGTCACCGTTTGTTCTTCTAGTCCTCCTATCTCTTTGTTCCATATTTTGACCTATTTTTCATCATCGTTTCTTACTGGCAAGTCACATGTTCAGACAACAAATAAAACTTTGCTGATAGAAGTGAAATGTAAATGAATGTGGGGGTGGATTGTGGGCGTGCTTATGAACAATATTTAGGTCAAACTTCAAGAAAACAATGCAGTTTTGATGCACCTCCCAAAGTTTGTTCTAAAGTTAAGGGTGTCATTTGTGTCGTGTAGAGCAGGAACAAACCGCAATCTAATCTCTCATCCGTCTGTTCAGAGGCGTTCAGGGCACCGGTGTTCAGAAATGGCCCAGATAAAAATGGCTTCACTGTGGGCTTCCGCAAGAATGTCACCCAGGTGTTCGGAGACCAGAAGAAGTGTTGGTGCTTGCCCCTTTACAGCAGGTACAAAACACATCCATCAAGCATCATTTGTAGGGCCCTATGATTTCTACGATGAGGAAAACATGGGCAAAAATGCGGAATCCAGTCATAAAAATGGAATTTACTGTATAACGCAGAATGTCACGGAATTTAATAAATCAAAAGTAGGTCAGAATACCTAAATCAAAGCGAGATTTGGACTAGAGTCTGTGAATATTAAGCTGCAAAAATACCATTTAAATATGAATCCCGCATGTTTTGCGTGTCTCTGTGTGAATGAATGGCGCAGACGTGCGCTTTCGTTTACTACACACACACTGAAGCGTGCGTAACGCTCATGGTGTTTTCAATCTCTGTCGCCTCAATATGAGTACATGAACACATGAACATGATCTCTAGAACTGCTCTGAGAGTCATGCTTCATAAGCATTTTACCGTTTCTTTTGAGAAAAACTATCGTCATATCATATACAAACAGAAACCTACCCATCAAAATAAAAGTTTGGGGGCGTTTTGTTTTGCTGTCTCTCCTCCGCGCTTCTGCGTCATTAATCACCGGCACATGTGCTACACATGCATCCTTTTTCTTACAAAAATGCATCGATTCGCTGTGTGAGTGCACATTTTATTATACATTTTATTTTATTATGGATGGATGCGCTTTATTTGACTACTTTTGGACTGTTGAAAAAAACACCCCCCATCAAAATAAAAGTTTGGTTTAACTTGAAGAATCTTTGACAGAAATATATTACTTAATGTAATGTTAGTACTACTACTGCTAATAAAATTATTAAAACATTATTCTTTAAGGCAGCGGTTCTCAATTCCAGTCCTCGCGTACCCCCCGCTCTGCATGTTTTGCATGTCTCTCTTTGTTAACACACCTGATTCAGATCATTATCTCGTTAGAAGTGAGCTCCGTGCATAAACTGTGTTCCGATTGACATGGTCCCTACACAGTGTCCTTTGCTCCCTACTCCCTGAGCAGGGGAAATCCGTTGAAGTTTACTTCACTTCGGAATATTCATTTACAGATTTGCGCTGCGCCACTGCCTGCAGTGTCTTCACACACATACGAAACTTACTAGAGAAGCGTGAAGTGGGACATAATATACCTCTGTAAATAAATACAATTTAAATTCACGTCTCGCACACTTAAATGCCCTTTGTCTGGAACATATATGCTCCCTTCAAACTGGAATCATGGTGGAATATCCGGTAATGTCCACTTCGCAGGGCACTTACAGTCAAATATAACAAACGTCTGAAGCAATAAGAGAAACATACAAAATGTGAGCAGGGGGTACACGAGGACTGGAATTGAGAACCGCTGCTTTAAGGAACATTTACCAGAAAAATTATTTGCCAGAATAATTTCTGGCAAAAAAAAGGTTATATTTTTTAATGAAATCAATTAATTGGAGATGGTTTTGATTATTAAAATGTAATAAAACCATTAAATTGGAATCCAGAAAATTAATGGAAAACAGAATTTGGTCAAAATATACCTGAATTTGAAAATGTATTTTATAGGGCTATACAATTTTTATTTTTATTAACATTTTAATACATTGCTGTAAAATTGTGACAAATTAAAACAGAAAAAAACGGAACCCAGAGAAATTAAAACGGAAAAAAATGGAATTTGGAAAAAAATAAAACGGATTTCATAGGGCACTACATTTGGGATTTTACAGTGTTTAAGAGGAAGAGTTTTTCTCTGCATTTCAATTAAAGATTACAAAACGTAAACTTTTTTTTTTCTTTGGAATAATGGTACACTAATTAATCATTCACAATTCAGTGCAGGAATGTGTATCAAGACCATGAATAACACATTTTAAATTCATGTTAATATTAAATTTATAAGCATTCTCATGAGATGTTTTTGGCAGGTTATGGTAACTGTTAACCGTTTTTTTCCTCTAGTTTGGGTGACGGCTACACATTCCCTACCCGCCTAGTCAACGTTGACTCAGAGCAAGGCAATGTTGAACACCAGGCCATTAAATGGTAATTACAATCTCATTTGTTAACAATACCACTAGTCACTTGAATGACACAGGGCTCCAGACTGCCGGTGCGAGTAACTTGAGCGCGGTCGCACTGGTGCGACCACCGCATTGTTCAACTCGTAAGCGCTGCCATTTCTGTTGCATATGAGAAACATCAAACGGCAAACGAAATGAAAGCAAAACTAAATTGCGCTACTCATTTGAGCTGTAGTTTTTCCTTAATATTTAGAAATGATAAAATAACAATTATAAAATCCCTATTATAAAATATAAAATAATCAAGAAATCAGATTTTGTCAGAGTTTTGCTCTTTTTTTTTTTCTTTGTGTGTGTGTATGAAGTAAGAAAAGTTACAAAGTGCTTTGTGCTCATAAATGTGCAAAGTGCTCATAATCACTGAAGTTGTTGGTCAGTTCCATATAAGACTATAGAAGAATAATGGTACATTTGTTGCATATGAGAAACATCAAACGGCAAACGAAATGAAAGCAAAACTAAATTGCGCTACTCATTTGAGCTGCGCAGCGCGGACCGCGTGACGCAAACAAACTTGTCCGAGCTCAGAACAGCTTTACTTGGGAGCCAAAGTTGAGTTCGCAACACTGTTACAGCACAGCGCTGCGAGATCCAGTGAGAAGCGTTTGAATTCGCCGCAGAATGAATAAAGATTGCTGCGAGATCTAATGAAAAGCATTCAAATTCTGCACAGAAATCTCTGTTATAAACAGATCAAACGGCACTGACATAGAAAACCAGTAACGCTGACTATAACCATGGTGTTGTGGCAGAAATAGTCGAATGATATTACATTCATTTCATTCATCATTCCTTTCAGGGTTTGTACAATCTTTTGCGAGAGAAATTCAAGCAGTTTTCAGTTACTTTCAAGCATTTCACACAAATGTTTCGAGCATTTTAAAGCTCCAAAATGATCCAATTTGAATGTTATTTTTAATGGGATGACCAAAATATACTGTGCAAGAAATGAACATGTAATATTTTTAGTAACCGCACTTATTAATGCAAAACGATATATATAGTTGTCACATCCCTCTAAAATTAAAAGAATACTGCACATTGTAATTTCTATGAGTTAAGTCTATTTATTATCAAAGCATTTGTCAGAATTCATTTATAGCAGGGGTGCCCAACCCTGCTCCTGGCGATCGACTGTCCCGCAAAGTTCAGCTCCAAACCTAATCAAACACACCTGAAGCAACTAATTAGGGTCTTCAGGATCACTTAAAAATTAAAGGCAGGTGTCTTTGATTAGAGTTGGAGCTAAACTTTGCAGGACAGTCGATCGCCAGGAGCAGGGTTGGGCACCCCTGATTTATAGTTTTTCCTTAATATTTAGAAATGATAAAATAACAATTATAAAATCCCTATTATAAAATATAAAATAATCAAGAAATCAGATTTTGTCAGAGTTTTGCTCTTTTTTTTTTTCTTTGTGTGTGTGTATGAAGTAAGAAAAGTTACAAAGTGCTTTGTGCTCATAAATGTGCAAAGTGCTCATAATCACTGAAGTTGTTGGTCAGTTCCATATAAGACTATAGAAGAATAATGGTACATTTAATAAGAGTACATTTATATACCTTTTCTACATAAAAATTAGATTTTGCACGTTACTGTTGTTAATAAAATAAATTTTGTAAGCTTCCCAACTCAAGCTTAGTGCTTTACTGTCAAATGTGTATAAACATGAAATAAGCAAGAAATGAACATGTAATATTTTTAGTAACCGCACTTATTAATGCAAAACGATATATATAGTTGTCACATCCCTCTAAAATTAAAAGAATACTGCACATTGTAATTTCTATGAGTTAAGTCTATTTATTATCAAAGCATTTGTCAGTAATACAGTTAAAATGGGGAAAATATGTGAATGATTGCATTGCAGGCTGGTTTAAGGTGTGCCCCTAAATTTTCTGCTTGTGCTCCTAAAAATGTTGTCAGGGCTCAGGGGCTACAGTGCTCCTAGTAAAAATAGTTAGTCTGGAGCCCTGTGACAGTATAATTCTGCAGCTTGTCATGACAACGAATTAAACTACTATAGATTATTTTTCCCCTCAGCTGTTTCAGATCATTTCATTATGTCAAACCTTTTTTAATCCCAGATCTGTTTTCCCAGAAACATAGTCATTAATAGTATAGTGTAATGTGAGGTGAGGCCAGTGAAAACATCCGTAAACGTTTGTGACTGACACATAATGGTTGTTATGTTAACAGCACTGTTGATGGACAGACAAACCCCAGACCTCTGAGTGAGTCACAGAATCATCTCCTAGGCAACAAAATGCACTCTGAGGAGCAGAAAGACAGCAGCCCGGCGAACATCGGTACGTCAACACTCAGCTTTCACACCCCTCATATATGCCAGAGAACACTGTGAATTTTTTGAGGCATCACTAGACAGTATTAAAAATCCAATGATTTCCCTGAAGCTTTACTGAGACGCACTGTTCCTTAATATTCACTCGCCTGCTTCCTAATGTAGTCGGCTGATTACACTGTAATATGAGGAAATGTATGCATTTATGAAACTGATCTGTATGGGTTTGTCTTGCAGAGGTATGTCAGCCTGTTTCAATTACCATGGAGAATGAGTCATAATCAGGTGAGTCTTCAGTTTGAACATCCATCCAGCCAGTGTTAAGGCCTGTTCACACCAAGGACGGTAACTATAAAGATAATTATAAATATATAGTTCTAAAAATCGTCTTCAATATTAAAGAATAGCGGAGTCCACACCACAGCTATAACGATAAAAGCACAGAGAAACGATATGGTTGGAATCACTTTAAGAACTATTTTTTTCCAGCTGCTGAACAATAAAAACATTGACACCCAATCAGAATCAATCCTGCTACAACGAGCTTTAGAATTTAAAGTGGCAGACGTGCATGCACTTAGAATAAACAGACAATATCATCCGCTGGTGTGGATGCTAATATAGTTATCGTTCTTGGAGTGAACGGGCCTTTACTGTCACTGAGGTTGAGGGATTTAGTTTGGGCTGGTGTGACAGTGGTTTCATTCAGAAGATTCATCAGACTGATTCAGTAAAGAGCAGTAAAGTCCTGTGCACACCAAGAATGATAGCTATAGAGCTAGTTATGACGATAACTATATTAGCGTCCACGCCAACTGAGGATATCATTGTTTGTTATGAGTGCAATTAAATGCTCTAGCTTGTTCAAGTCTGGTGGAGTCTGATTGGTTGTCAAAGTTTTATTGTTCATTGCCAGGAAAAATCATTCTGGAAGTGATTATTCCTCTGTATAGTTGTGATGAGGACATGTAAAAGTATTTTTAGATTTATAGCTAGAGGTATGAATGGTTGTTTAAAGGGTTAGTTCACCCAAAAATGAAAATTGGCCCATGTTTTACTGACCCTCATGGCATCCTAGGTGTGTATGACTTTGTTCTTTTAGATGAATCCAATCGGAGTTATATTAAAAATGATCCTTGCTCTTCCAAGCGTTAGAATGGGAGTAGGCGGGTGTTTTTTGTCAACAGTCCAAAAGTAGTCAAATAAAGCACATCCATCCATAATAAAACGTGCCTCACATGGCTCCAGGGGGGAAATAAAGGTGCGATGCGATTTTGTACGAAAAATATCCATATTTAAAACATTATAAACACTTTTCTCTCACTTCCGCTAACTGTTGTAGGCGGAAGCCGTTCTGGGCAGATGATGTAGGACGTAGCCGGTGATTAGTGACAAATGCGGAAGCGCGGAGGAGAGACAGCAAAACAAAAAGCCGGTCACGAATTAGAAGCACAAACTGAGGATTTGTAAAGAAGAATGTCAGAGGAGTTCCATTTAAGCCAGGAGGAGACTGGTTTTCCTTTGGTAAAGTAAGGAAACTTTGCTTCCTTTGGTCCTATAAACAAACTCGCGAGATTAGCATCTCCCCGGCGCATGCGCTACGCATACGTCCTACGTCATCCACCCGGAACAGCTTGCACAAATGACAGTTAGTGTTTTTTTTTTTCAACAGTCCAAAAGTAGTCAAATAAAGCACATCCATCCGTAATAAAATGTGCCTCACACAGCGCCAGGACATGGGTAAAGTCCTCCTGTAGCGAATCGATGCGTTTTTGTAAGAAAAATATCCATATTTAAAACGTTATGAACACTTTTCTCTCACTTCTGCTAACTGTTGTACACCGGAAGCTGTTCCAGCGGATGACGTAGGATGTATGCGTGGTGAGATATGCTAGTTTCGCGAGTTTGTTTACAGGAGCAAAGGAAGCAAAATTTCCTTACTTAAGCAAAAGAAAACCAGACTTCTCTTGACTTGTATCGAAATCCTCAGACATTTTTCTTTACAAATCCTCGTTTTGTGCTTCTAATTTGTGACGGGCGTTTTGTTTTGCTGTCTCTCCTCCGCGCTTCTGCGTCATTAATCACCGGCACATGTGCTACACATGCATCCTTTTTCTTACAAAAATGCATCGATTCGCTGTGTGAGTGCACATTTTATTATACATTTTATTTTATTATGGATGGATGCGCTTTATTTGACTACTTTTGGACTGTTGAAAAAAACACCCACCTACTGCCATTATATAGCTTGGAAGAGCAAGGATCATTCTTAATATAACTCCGATTGGATTTGTCTAAAAGAAGAAAGTCATATACACCTAGAATGCCATGAGGGTGAGTAAGACATGGGCTAATTTTCATTTTTGGGTGAACTAACCGCGAGCTGCAGTTATTCCATGTGCTGCTTTAAATGCTCAGGCTCATGTTTGACCGGCAAATTTTTTATTTTTATTTTTTTCATTTTTTTTTTTCCTTCTTTTTTTTTTCCTTCATCTGAATGGTTTGAAACTTGCTAAAGGTTTTGAAAAAAAAAAAATCATGGACATGATTCGAAAAAATAGACACTTGTATTGTTCGCGGTTGAAAATGACCTCATTGGAAACGAGTATGAAGCAAATTTCATCTAGTAGAAATGTTTGGTACTGCACCCAAACAAAATCTTGAAAGCTCATATTTTGAGATATCAGCTTCAAATTTGGAACACAACTAAAGATTTTTAGCTTTGATTTTTTTTTTAGAGGGTTTTTATTTTTAAACTAGTGTTTTTGTGAATTTTTCATAAACACTTTAGTTTAGAGACCAATTCTTCACTTTTGAAACTTTTCACTTCACTTTTAAACTTCACATCAGCAATAATCTGCCAGGTGTCTTCTTTAAAAAGAGACCAAACTTAAGTCTGTTCTCCAAAGCATTCGAGATTTATGACAGTTTAACTTGGAAATGTTCATTTTTGGGTCTATGCTCAAAAAACAGGTAATAAATTGATCATAACTATAATTTAGTTCTGTAAAATCTCCTAAAATACTAAATAATAAATAAAAAAACATTGTCACTAAAATGTAGTACATTAATTTCTTTGAAAGTTTGTGTTCATCAGCTGAAAAAAAAAAACACTGAAAGTGATTTCAACTATATCCTTCCTCTCTGTCATCATCATCATCATCATCACAGTTGTTGTATGGACTTCTCTTTTCTGAAAGATTAGTTCAACTAGTCATTTTAGCAATTAAAATTCTAGTTATCTTTGCACAAAAGTGGTTTACTTAAGTTTTCTCTTTGCTTACAGGTCTTTGGAATGGCCCCAGGATGTTTTCCTCTCTGAAGAGTACTGTTGTCATAAGGCCTCATGTGAAAGAGCACACAGTCCTCAGATATCATGCCTTAAGGTTAGCAGCAGCATTCTCTCATATGGAAACGCTGTGGTGGATGTATCTCCCTGCACTCATATCCACAGACTCTCAAGCTCTTCACACCAAACATCCACTCAACTCGACCGCTCTTTCACTGGGGTTTATGATGTTGTGACTAACACACTTACTTTTCTCCAAGCATGCACATTTATTTGACCAAAATACCCTAAAATGACCTTCAGGATGCTCTGTCCAATGTATAATGTATTTATACTGGATTATCTCTGGGACGACTTCCTTTTTGTAGACCAAAAAAGTCAGGCAGGTGTTGCTACCCAAGATGCACTTTTGTCACCAAGGATTTGAGTGGAATGCTGATGTTTACGGATCTGAATGAACATGAAGTGTATTGCAGAATTTGATTAGAATGTGATGTTCAGTTAAGTCACATTTCACTACACAGCAGCTTCAACCTCAGCTATTAGGAGTTTCTAAAGTATTTTGTTCAGAAGAAAGTGCACTGAGGTATTTAATACTTTCACTCTAGATCTTTACATTAATGTACTCTATTTGTGGAAAACTCTATTTAGTATTCAGTGATATCCAGCAACTTTGACACATCTACCCATTTATTAACACTATTTTTTTTCGCTGCATTTAAATTATTTCATTTTTTCCAAACCTCATGCCCCTTAGCATTATACTATCAGCTTTGTGCCTTCAAATGAGGGTTAAATTTTGCAGCAGATGGTGAATCGTGAGAGTATGCACACTTAAGATTTCCAGGTTGTGTAGCACACGCAGCTCAGTGGTTTATTACAGAAGGAACTCAGGCCAAGATGTTAGACTTTTGCCACCTTCAGTTTAAGTTTGAAGACAGCTGAGGTTTTTATTCCACATGTTGATGTACAGCAAGGTCTGTTTACAGCTGCACTGGAGGACTCTGACCTCATAAGGAAGCTCTTGTGTGACTGAAATACATGCATTTCTCTGCGTGAGCAAGATGAGTGTTAATATGTTTAAAAACTCATAATTTCAGAGTCGATGCTCATGGAAGTCATTGAATCAGGTTTTGTGTTTTTTTTTTTTAATAGTTTTATAGAATTTTCTATTTATGTTATTGCATGTTAATGTGAAAAGTATTGAAGGGCCGATGATTTACTGCTCTAGTTGTGACCTCTCTATAGCTGGACTTGAGCTGACCTAATTATAGCAACTGAAATCTATCATGCGTGTAAAAATAATCCCTGATAGGCTGCTGCATCTGCTGGAAGTCACATGCTATTCATCTGAGGTCATGATTGTCTTTATGAACATTTTTGCAAGCAAGGACAGTGATTATGCCAAATATAATCATTTTAATATCAAGGAACTCGCTAATCAATCACTTACTCCCTCATGAATATGTAATATATTACTGGAATTTGAATACCAAACATAGGACCATTTTCTTTTTTTGATTTTTGTTCTTTAATTTGTACAGAATTTTCAGCTTTTTTTGTACTTACCCTGCAGGCCAGTTTGGTTCATGATGTTATATTTGAAGATGTTTCTGAAGTCTGAACAGTTTGCACAGATTCTCCATGTCTAATTGAATTTAATGTGTGTACTTTGCAGATTTAACAAGTATTCAATGTATGCATTATAGAATTATTTAATAAAAAAAATTCAGCACTATGAGGGCATGTGATTGAGTTTGAGAAAGGAATAATGGAAATAGTTTTGGGTACGAAAAAATAGGACTAACAGAATTTTATTTTTAGGTTGAACTAATTTAATAAACTCAGAAGTTACCTCATCTACAGTCCTGCAAATGCAGGGTATTTAGTTGTTAGCCTTTGGTCTGGTGAAAAGGGAAAAGGTGAAAAGTGTAATCAGAGGTGAATAATTCAGATGCTGCTGTTTCTTACCACATAACAGAAAGGGGAGGATATTTTTTAGCATAAACAATGACAAGACTGTAACAAGATGACATACCGGGTCCTATGAGAACTACAATACTTAAGAAAAAATACACTAAAACACAAGCACAGACAAACCACTCGACTTAATACAGACATGAAAATAATTTGCACAGAACATCTGAAAACATTTCCAAGACTCTAAAGTATGAACGAGATGCATTAGTTTCCTTGATGGGGGAACTAGAACTTTTCTGTTAGCTCGACCTCAAAAATGCAGATTTCCGTTCAGAGACAGATAAACTCATTTTAGTCTGTATTAAAACTACTGTGATGACAGATTCATTACTCCACAGTATTCACTCGACACTCAGATGTTACAATCTTATATTCTGACTTGGATTCACACACTTATAAAGATGCTACTACAGAAGATCAGACAGTTATGGGGGTGTTACAACTAAACCATGTGACCTAAATGAAAACAAGAACCTAACAGTCCAAACTGAAGTCAAAACTGCAATGCAAACTTAAGAGGGTAAAAATCATAAGAGCTTTAAAACAATCATGCTTCGACCTCATGGGCCGCTAAAGTGGAACGTGAGACCGCCTCACGCCACCCCCTACTGGAGCTCTCGCCTAATCGCAGGCCCTTCGAGAGCGCTGGAATGAGCTCATCCGCAGCACGCGTGACTTCACACAAACACTACAAGCTGACACTCTCTCGCTCACACACGTACACCTCACGCGCTTCCTCTTCATCCGGGCTTTTAATCAACCCCCAAATCAGCTAAGCTGGTGTCAACTCCCTCCAATCGTGTCTATCTCACCCTCAGAAGTAAGCGGTTGTCTATGCACGCTGCGCTGTAAGGGGAAAATCCTCATTTCTTTCTTGTAAAGTGGCTTGATGTGTCACTCCGCTCTTTTTTTTGTCGGTTTGACAAAAAGCTTGTAGTATTTCTCCCCTTAATATTCATCCTCTCTGTGTGACAATTTCTTCATCTCCTCCCAACTTTTGCAGTGGAGGATGATTGGTTTGTACAGCGGTAGGTCAGTTCTGTGCTTCAGCCTACTTTAGCCCAGATCAGGAATGCTGGGATGTCCCGGACTGGTACGTTGCGTGTGAGAGCTTTGACTCGCAGATTGCGGTCATCCGTGAGCAAGACCACCTCCCTGCGTAACCTCACCAGCCCATCTGGAGAATACAAAACATGATGACGAAACAAATTCTTCTAGGGCTGCAAAACGATTAATCGCGATTAACCGCATTCAAAATAAAAGTTCATGTTTACATACTATATGTGTGTGTACTGTGGATATTTATTATGTATATATAAATACACACACCTACATGTTTTTACTTTTACATGTTTAAACTTTTATTTTGAATGCGATTAATTGTGATTAATCGTTTTACAGCCCTAAACTCATCTACATCTTGGATGGCCTGAGTTTCATTTTTGCATTAACTATTTATTTAAAAACAGTGATCAAAGTCAGATGCCGTAAAACTGTGAAAATGGATTGATAATTAAAAACAAATTCAGATGTAATGCAAAAGTGTAATGCAAAAAACCCATTTGAATTGCCCCTAACAAGTAAAAGTAAGTGAACTGACTTCTCTCAGCAGGCATGAAGTCCTTGGCTTTGTCCTGACAGTAGTGCAGACAGCAGGACAGGATGACATCATCGTTGTTGCCCTGGGGAGACAGAGAGACGCACAATGAGTGGGCGGCTTTAAAATAGAGCTTAAAGTCTCGTGTGCATTTCTGAACTTCTCAAGGTTTTTTTTCACACTAGAGTTGCTTGTTGATGTGCAAGCCATTTTCCGAACTTGGGTGCGCACCATAGAACCGTGTCTGAGTCTTACGTTCCCTGAAGATCATCGTTAAGACTAATCATCTGCAGTCTGTCTGTCGTGTTACTTATGAGAGTCTAAAGACAGATGATTTTAAAAGCATCTCTGATTTGAACTTCAGAATCAAAAGTAGCTTCAGAGTTAAATTCAGTTCTGAATTAGACTGAAGTGTTAATTTCAGATCTATTCAAAATTAATTTGTGTAATCACTAAACTAAAATCATTCTGAAAAAAAAAATATGCAAGTTAATTATTTAGATTGATCATAAGTTATTATAAAAATAAGTTATATTATAAAAATAAGTGCTTGACTGGTGCATAAAATAATTAAACATGCCTGCAAACTCACAAGAGGTCAAAAAGGTGACATAGTTCGGAATATAAATAATGTAGGGTGGTCTGGGGGCATCCCCCCAGAAGAAAATTTTTGAGAATTTAAAGGGGTCATATGATGTTGCTAAAAAGAACATTATTTTGAAACAGAAGCTGCATCTGAAGTGGCATTGCATCAGGGCTCCAGAATGAAGCTGAGGTGCCATAAATGCATTTACACAACAAAATTTCAAATGCATAAATAATTTTATAAGATTAACGTTTTAAATATTTTTGAATATACAAGTTAAAAATGTTGGGAAAAATGCAATACTTTTAAATATGAAACCAAACCACCAGTAGATGATGGTAAATGACTGTTTTAATGAGCGAGTCCCCCTTACCATACTGTGATGCCGTGTCCCGGAGCAACAAGACAAAACCAATAAAACCCATTCTAACCGAGGCGTTTATTGCATCCAGTGGGGACATAATTATGGATTATAATGACTTATACTGTGTTTTTAAGCGCCGCGTAACCA